TTGCCATCAAAGCGTCTGTGTTAAGTTTGCATTCCACTAATTGTGCAATAACAATATGTGGTTGGTATTGGACTGCATCATCTTGCATTGCTTGCATTCTTAACAAGGTCACAAGGCCCTTGCATTACTTGGGTAATCGGATCTTGATGGCATCATTCTCATTATGCATATACTTTGAATTGCATCTCGAATGATACATTGTTGCAACCTTTGACCTCCAGTCTTTAATTCATCAAAGTTTTGCATAAGCCTAGATTACAAGAATCAAGATGCGGTTTTCATTTCTTGTCATATCTTGTGGTATTCTGTTTTTTTTTTTTTATTTTTTTATGAAAACACATAAGGGAATACATGTATATTTTGAACATAATTTATCTAATATCATACTATAGTCACAGGAGTCATTTTTTTTCCACCATGACACTCGTGATGTCGAACGCTAATGAACCTTTCAAATTAATAATGGAGTTTAAATCATTTGTGATCAAACAAGATTATTAATCTACCAAATCTTGATTCTTAGTAATTTGTCAAGCTGGCTTTGTGCCAAAAATAAAACGGATATGTTGTTCCGAAGTCCATTATGTACCTTTCAGTCGTCTTCAATTTTCTTGTTCTTGTTATTTTCCATTATGTACGGTACTGGTCTCCCCAAGTACATCTCAACATACTAGTAAATTAAAAAAAAAAAAAAAAACCTAAAAGAAACAATTATTGGGGTTCAAGCTAAATATTTCAATTTCCTAGTCTGAAAAATTGTTGGTCTTGTATTTTATTTTATTTTTTAAAGAGCTTTTATCTAAATCAAGTTGTAGAAAATCTGACTCTTATATACTTGATACTCAACGGAATATTAATTAGTTGTTCTTTCTCTCTTTGTCTCATTCTTTTTTTTTTTTGGGAGGATTCAACAGTTAGGGGTATTCGTACTAATTTATACGCATTTCGATTAATTGCTTTCTTTATTAAGTTAAATGCAAGTCATTTACATCGGAACTAAAGTATTCATGAGGAATGAATCTCTTAAGACTTAATCCCAATTGATTGTTAAGATTCGAATTCAAAATATCTGAATTTACAGTTCGTCTTTATTAATTATTACCGCTTGAGTTACCCTATCTCCTTAAGAAGGATAAAAATATTTCAAGATGACATCCCTTCAATACCACCAAACTAGGGGGAAAAAAAAAAACCCAAAATATAAAAATCTTTTTTAACAAACATATTTTATTTCCTAGTGCAGGACTAGTGTTTGTCAACTTTTTTAGTGCTTGGCCTGAAAAAGAGAGTTTGTGACCATAAAAAGACAACTAGGGAAAGGGCATAGGAAATGAATACATCTCGCACCATGCAAATATTTCTTGTTTCAATCGCCCTCGCCCACTGTAGAGCCAAAGGTTGTTTGTCTTGGGCCTCTCCTTTTCAGTCTCTCTTTCAATCTAATATAATATAATATTTTTATTTATATAAAAAAAAATAAAAAAGCAATAATTATAAAACTATCGAATCTTCCTAATTATGGTGAATGATTGAATGGTGGTGGAGTGGTTGAAATTTAAATAATATACCAATTAAGAGGATGCCATTCTATTCAATGATTGAAGCCTACTGTTAATGATTTAACATCAGAAACAGTCTAAGAATTTTTAAATTAAGAGGGTTTCATGCTCAATACCTATATGAATTTACTGGTAGAATTTATAATTGAAAACGGATTTTTTTTTCTTTTTTTTTTTGTATTGTGGTCGCTGTTCGGACTTATTTTCGTTTATCTCGATTAATTCTCTCTTTTGTCTAGCTAAAAATAGACCATTCACATTCATAACTAAGCAAACTTTTCAAACTCGAGAAGTCAAAATTTATTACTTATTTTTATCTCTACTAAATTACCCTCGGAGTTATTTGAAAACAGACTCACATAATGAATTAAGTTCAACTAAACTTTCATACAATGGTTAACATGAACCTACGGGTAAAACTCACCTTTAACAATGACCTATAAAAAAAGAGTTGTTTACGATATCAAAAAAAAATAATTTTCGTACCATACTAATATTTAATACTATTGTAGTATTGGAACAGTGATAAAAATATCATGATAAATCATCTATAAAAGTGATAATTTTTTTTTTGTATTGAAAAAAAATAATAAAAATATCTACAATAATGGTAAAAACATCCACAAAAATAAAAAATTATTTATAAAAATAGTAACTTTTTTAATTATAAAATAACTCATAAAAATGATAAAAATACTAATTAAAATAATAAATTTTAAAGATACGTTACCATTTTTTTTAAGTCCATATACAAAATGAAATCGTAATTAATCTAATAAGTAAGTCTAGTTCAAAAGTTAATAAATTTTACCCATAAAATAATATTTATTTTAGTCGTGTAAAATTATATTTTATTTCCTAAATTATTACCCTTGTTTCACCAGATACTCTTAACTATAAAATTTCTTATATTATATTCTAAAATATTAATTTTATTTCATTTTTTTTAATAGATAACGACANCTGGATACTGTTAACTATAAAATTTCTTATATTATATTCTAAAATATTAATTTTATTTCAATAGATAACGACAAACTTAAAAATCTTTTAAAAAAGGGAGGAAAACTTCAAAGAACTTTTTGCCACATGCCTAGTATCACTTTATTTTACCTCTTTTATAACCAAATGACTTTTAAAAAGGAAAAGAAAAAAAGGCAGGCAAAGGAAGAAATTTTAGAGTTTAAGAATGATAAAGTCATGAATAGGTATTNATTTGAAAACGGATTTTTTTTTCTTTTTTTTTGTATTGTGGTCGCTCTTCGGAATTGTTTGCGTTTATTTCGATTAATTCTCTCTTTTGTCTAGCTAAAAATAGACCATTCACATTCATAACTAAGCAAACTTTTCAAACTCGAGAAATCAAAATTTATATCTTATTTTTATCTCTACTAAATTACCCTCGGAGTTATTTGAAAACGGACTCACATAATGAATTAAGTTCAACTAAACTTTCATACAATGGTTAACATGAACCTACGGGTAAAACTCACCTTTAACAATGACCTATAAAAAAAGAGTTGTTTACGATATCAAAAAAAAATAATTTTCGTACCATACTAATATTTAATACTATTGTAGTATTGAAACAGTGATAAAAATACCATGATAAATCATCTATAAAAGTGATAATTTTTTTTTGTATTAAAAAAAAATAATAAAAATATCTACAATAATAGTAAAAACATCCACAAAAATAAAAAATTATTTATAAAAATAGTAACTTTTTTAATTATAAAATAACTCATAAAAATGATAAAAATACCAATTAAAATAATAAATTTTGAAGATACGTTACCATTTTTGTTAAGTCCATATACAAAATGAAATCGTAATTAATCTAATAAGTAAGTCTAGTTCAAAAGTTAATAAATTTTACCCATAAAATAATATTTATTTTAGTCGTGTAAAATTATATTTTATTTCCTAAATTATTACCCTTGTTTCACCAGATACTCTTAACTATAAAATTTCTTATATTATATTCTAAAATATTAATTTTATTTCATTTTTTTTAATAGATAACGACAAACTTAAAAATCTTTCAAAAAAAGGAAGAAAACTTCAAAGAACTTTTTGCCACATGCCTAGTTTCACTTTATTTTACCTCTTTTATAACCAAATGACTTTTAAAAAGGAAAAGAAAAAAAAGCAGGCAAAGGAAGAAATTTTAGAGTTTAAGAATGATAAAGTCATGAATAGGTATTTTTTCTTGATTTTTGATTTGTACATGTGTAATAAGCAGTTGTTTATTAGCAGTACACACCACTCACATGTGCATTTATCTTTAAAAAATTGACATTCGTTATTAATTAATTGAAGTGATATGAAATAAAATTAATATTTTAGGGTATAATGTAAAAAATTTTATAATTAAGAATACAAAATAAAATAAGGGTAATAGATAAAGTGTAATTTACCAAAAAAAAGGCTTGGAGTAGAACCACAAGATTCACTGTTCATCATCAAGTAGCCTAAAAATTCTAGACCCTCCAATTCCTATCCTCTCCACACTTGTCCCCTAACACTCCCCAGATANGAAACAGTGATAAAAATACCATGATAAATCATCTATAAAAGTGATAATTTTTTTTTGTATTAAAAAAAAATAATAAAAATATCTACAATAATAGTAAAAACATCCACAAAAATAAAAAATTATTTATAAAAATAGTAACTTTTTTAATTATAAAATAACTCATAAAAATGATAAAAATACCAATTAAAATAATAAATTTTGAAGATACGTTACCATTTTTGTTAAGTCCATATACAAAATGAAATCGTAATTAATCTAATAAGTAAGTCTAGTTCAAAAGTTAATAAATTTTACCCATAAAATAATATTTATTTTAGTCGTGTAAAATTATATTTTATTTCCTAAATTATTACCCTTGTTTCACCAGATACTCTTAACTATAAAATTTCTTATATTATATTCTAAAATATTAATTTTATTTCATTTTTTTTAATAGATAACGACAAACTTAAAAATCTTTCAAAAAAAGGAAGAAAACTTCAAAGAACTTTTTGCCACATGCCTAGTTTCACTTTATTTTACCTCTTTTATAACCAAATGACTTTTAAAAAGGAAAAGAAAAAAAAGCAGGCAAAGGAAGAAATTTTAGAGTTTAAGAATGATAAAGTCATGAATAGGTATTTTTTCTTGATTTTTGATTTGTACATGTGTAATAAGCAGTTGTTTATTAGCAGTACACACCACTCACATGTGCATTTATCTTTAAAAAATTGACATTCGTTATTAATTAATTGAAGTGATATGAAATAAAATTAATATTTTAGGGTATAATGTAAAAAATTTTATAATTAAGAATACAAAATAAAATAAGGGTAATAGATAAAGTGTAATTTACCAAAAAAAAGGCTTGGAGTAGAACCACAAGATTCACTGTTCATCATCAAGTAGCCTAAAAATTCTAGACCCTCCAATTCCTATCCTCTCCACACTTGTCCCCTAACACTCCCCAGATATTCCTATTGATCACCTCCATAAATATGCACTCTCGCTATCCACTTCCCTCACACTTCTTTCACAAAACCCCCCACAGAGCTTCTTCAGCACTATAATGGCAACCATGTCCTCAACTTTGCTCTCCTCCAAGCTCAAGACCAGTTTCTTGGACACCCACCAGTCTTCCGTCTATGGAGTCCCCATTTCATCACCCTCTAGCGTCCAACCCATCAAGGCCAACCACCCACAAAACCTCTCTGTTTCCATGTCTGCTTCGTCTCCACCTTATGATCTTCAGTCCTTCAAATTTGCACCCATTAAAGAATCGATTGTTTCTCGTGAAATGACCCGTCGATACATGATGGACATGATCACCTATGCTGATACAGATGTTGTCATCGTCGGTGCTGGCTCTGCTGGACTTTCCTGCGCATATGAACTCAGCAAGAATCCATCAGTACAGGTATCTGAGTTTAATCTTCTCTATTGTGGTTTCTGTGAAAGTGATCCACTTAGGTTCAGAAACCACTAGTTTATTATTGGTATTATTCAGAAAATTTTGTGGTGGAATAGAAGAACATATTGAAGATGGGTTTCTTTTCTGTTGATATTTTCCAAGAATCTGACTTGTAATTTGAATGAAAGCATTGATTGGATTAATAGATTTTAATCCTTTCTATAGGGGTTTCTCTGGAAAGTGATTCACTTAGGTTCAGACATCACTGAACTTGTAATTGTTAATATTTCCTCGCACCGTCGAGGTTCTCCAAAAAAAAAAAAAATTGTTAATATTCAATCGACTTTGTGGTGGAATAAAGAAGATCGAAGATGGGTTACTTTCATTTGATATTTTCTAGAAATCAGACTTGTAATTTGAATGAAAGCATTGGGTCATCTCCAGGAAATTAGATTGGATTTCAGAACTCTAATTCGAAATCCAAATACAATCAGAAGTTCNGGTCATCTCCAAGAAATTAGATTGGATTTCAGAACTCTAATTCGAAATCCAAATACAATCAGAAGTTCATAATTTGATTTCTAATCCTGATAGTTTTGACCATATACACAATGCTTCTGTATGTTGATGCATAGGTGGCTATCATTGAGCAATCTGTGAGCCCCGGTGGTGGAGCATGGCTCGGCGGCCAACTCTTCTCTGGCATGGTGGTTCGAAAACCAGCTCATCACTTCCTCGATGAACTGTGTGTGGACTACGACGAACAGGACAACTACGTGGTGATCAAACATGCGGCTTTGTTCACTTCCACAATCATGAGCAAGCTTTTAGCTCGACCCAATGTGAAGCTTTTCAACGCTGTCGCAGCCGAGGATTTGATTGTGAAGGGAAACAGAGTAGGTGGTGTGGTGACCAATTGGGCATTGGTATCGATGAACCATGACACTCAATCTTGTATGGACCCGAATGTGATGGAGGCTAAGGTGGTGGTGAGCTCATGTGGTCATGATGGTCCTTTTGGAGCCACTGGTGTTAAGAGGTTGAAGAGCATTGGGATGATTGATAGTGTGCCTGGAATGAAGGCTTTGGACATGAATGCTGCTGAGGATGCCATTGTGAGGCTCACCAGAGAGGTAGTTCCAGGAATGATTGTTACTGGCATGGAGGTTGCTGAAATTGATGGATCTCCTAGAATGGTAAATTTTTTCCTTTTTGTTTTGGCATTGATTTTAGGAGTAATTGTGTGGTCGATTTTGACTTATATACTCTGTTTTCCCATGCATACTGTGTCCAATATTCATTTGTTCATGACAATCCATTACTCAAATTTCTTTGTTTGACCTTATTAAAGTTTAGGGCTATAGTTTGAGGGATTCATATCAAATATCAGTGTTAAATTTCTTGGTTTTATGGCTACAGGCCACTACAATGGTCTTGGAAATGGTGATCTTCTTGATGAAAATTCTTGTTTAAATTAGATTTGGCCAATCAGATAGTCATGGATTCATATAAGGTCATTGAGTTATGAAATTTAGAAGTATCTCAAATGTCAATTTTCATAGCGGCGTAAAGAAGAGAAATGGTTCAATTTTTTTTGGGAGTAACTACTTTAGAGCATCTCCAACCTGTCACTCAAATTTTTACTAAAATTTTAGTCAATATTTGAGGAAAAAGTTTGATTTGATACAAAGAACTCCAATGAACAAACTCAAATTTAAAAGAGGATAGACTCAAATTTAAAGCAGTGCAAAGGAGAGTGAAATANACATTTGGGGAAAAAGTTTGATTTGATACAAAGAACTCCAATGGACAAATTCAAATTTAAAAGAGGATAGACTCAAATTTAAAGCAGTGCAAAGGAGAGTGAAATATGACTACTGGATTTTTAAAGGAGAATAAAATCTAACCATTGGTGATTTCAGTAAAAATTTGGGTTTCACTTGATTTCAGTAAAAATTTGAGTCTCCATTAATTTGAAATAGATTTGGGTATAAGATTATAAAGGTTTTTGGGCTATTTTTACTCAANAATAAAATCTAATCATTGGTGATTTCAGTAAAAATTTGGGTTTCACTTGATTTCAGTAAAAATTTGAGTCTCCATTGATTTGAAATAGATTTGGGTATAAGATTATAAAGGTTTTTGGGCTATTTTTACTCAAATTTAAATTTGGGTCTAAAAAAAGGTGAGGATTGGTGATACTAATAACCAAGTTGTACACTATTCAGAAATAAGTTGTAATCCTGCAAGGAAAAGCTATTGTCGACATAGTTTATTTCAATGAAAGTAATCTAATACCACTGCCAATACATTTTCTTGATGCATTGCAGTCAGATTTTTCCTTTTTATGGCTTATTTGTTTGTTTTCCTCGAGTACGATATCAGAAGATACAACCATATTTGTTAGTTTTTTCGAGTTACATATCGGAGGATACCATCATACGGAACAATTGTTTGTGATGCTATTAGGGAGGTAGAACCAAGTTAATTTGACTTTTGACNTTGGAGGATACCACCATACGAAACAATTGTTTGTGATGCTATTAGGGAGGTAGAACCAAGTTAATTTGACTTTTGACTTTCACTTAGTACATTAAGAGTTAAGTGGGTTTGAATCCTCTTAAAAACTTAAAAAAATGACAAAATGAGTCCTTTACTTTGGTTGCATAATGTGAAAATAAAGTCAAGAACTAGACAACACTCTTGTTCTGACCATACTAATGGATGTATAATATGGTGTTGTTTATACAGGGACCTACTTTCGGAGCAATGATGATATCCGGGCAGAAAGCAGCTCATTTGGCTTTGAAATCGCTGGGACTCCCGAACGCGCTGGATGGGAACTATGTGGGAAGCATTCACCCTGAGCTCATCCTTGCAGCTGTTGATGCATCTGAGATTGCTGATGCTTGAAAACATTCAGTCGATGAAGATTTGCCTCATAGACTTTAGCAACAGAACTATCAATGATCACTACGTTGTCACCAAGTAATGTGACCTTCAATAATAACGTGAGGAATGTAAAAGATCTGTTTTTGGATTAGTGGGTTGTAGAAGTGGAGTTGGTGACCTTTTGTGAATGAATGATTGGGTGTATGTCTTTTATCTTTTGTTCTTTTTCTTGGAACTTCATGCGCTAATTGTGGCAATGTAGCATTTAGTGCTTTACCTCTGTTGCCTTTTGCCTATTCTGTTCTGTCTTTGCTTACTGTCAAGTGCGCATTGATCTTATGGTATATGCTTTGTTCTAAGGATATGCGTTTCCGTAATCTCTTGATGCTGTTCATGAGAGAAAAACCTTTTTTTTCAGAGGCAGAAAAGCCTCTCTGAGAGAGAATGAGAATCCTCCGAGTTCATGAGTGAGAGAGAGAGAGAGGATCAACAGGACATAATCCTTTGTCCTGCTGATTCTTGAAATAGTAATGTAAGCAGCAATAAGAGTGAGAGGAATGGAAAAGTTTGTTGTTGGATTAGTGGGTTTTACAAGTGGAGGTAGTGGTGACCTTTTGTTAATGCTTGGCTGTGTCTCTTTCTCTTTGTTCTTTTCTTGGAACTTTATCTGCTAATAGTGGCAATATAGCATTAGTTCTTTTGCTCTTTGGCATTGCTGCCAAGTGCGGATTATCTTATGGTGTATACTTTGTGTTACAGATCTCATAGTATAACCATCGAGCAATAGATAAGAACTTGAATTTTTTTGTTCAATAATTGAATTTAAGTCTTTATAACTATAGCAATTCGGTGGAGGTTAAATCTACTTTTCAGCGTCCAAAGCATGTTAGGGGACCCTAGCTTTGGCTCTAATGTGGGTGCGATGAGGTCTCCTGTAGATAAATGTGTAGTGATGAAATGACCTGGAAAAAAAAATCTCATAGTGTAGGCTTGCACCCTGAAACAGGCTTGCCTTGCCTGAAAAGAGGGGTAATAATGGCTTGACTGTTATTGGCTTTCCCTTCCAGAAGTCTTCCTGCTCTGTTTACCAACTATTTTGTGGTTGTAGACATAATGGTACTAGTTGAGATTGGTCTGCCCATAGGCCCATTAATTGAAGAATGTGGAACTTTCTATGCTTAACAAATCCAACCAGAATGACTTAATAGAATTGAATTTTAACTTAGTTTCATCAAATAACTAATTATATTTGGCTAATTGGGTTCGGATTCGATGAGATTCAAGTTCGAATGGCATCTAATCTAATGCTAAAGGAAGTGAAGAATTTCTTATTCAATTTCTAAAGGTTCCTACTGGATTCATATCTCTTTGATACTTTCACACCTTATCACGTTATCTTTCTACCTACTATGATTCCCGTGTTCGACACAATGTCCCAATCAAAATCTTTACAAAGGCATATTCAATCTTTTTGAAAGGCTTTAATATCCCCAGAAGCCGCACCTTCAAACTTAAACTTTTACTTTTACAAAAGCAGAGCTCAGAGAAGAAAATTGGCATTTTGCCATCAGATTGAGCTAATCAGCTTCTGTTTGACTTGTACACTGCCTTAACACCACACCATCTGCATATTTGAACAAAATTCAAAACTAACCNTAAATATCCCCAGAAGCCGCACCTTCAAACTTAAACTTTTACTTTTACAAAAGCAGAGCTCAGAGAAGTAAATTGGCATTTTGCCATCAGATTGAGCTAATCAGCTTCTGTTTGACTTGTACACTGCCTTAACACCACACCATCTGCATATTTGAACAAAATTCAAAACTAACCTTAAGCGCGAACAGCTTCATTCAGTGGTCAAATAACAGGGAGGCATAAACCTCCACAACATGAGTTCGAGAAAAAGAGAGAGAGAGAAAAAAAAGAAAGGACGTGGCTTTCGCTGAGTTCCATTGATGTGTTTATAGAATTTNTTCAAAACTAACCTTAAGCGCGAACAGCTTCGTTCAGTGGTCAAATAACAGGGAGGCATAAACCTCCACAACATGAGTTCGAGAAAAAGAGAAAGAGAGAGAAAAAAAAAGAAAGGACGTGGCTTTCGCTGAGTTCCATTGATGTGTTTATAGAATTTGAAGCCATGGAGTTAAAGGGTAAGTGAGTTTCAATATTTTAAGCAGAACCAGCACTGTGTAGGCCACTCCTCTTTCGTGCCTCCCCATACAATCAATAATGGACTCGATATGGCCACTACCATCATTATGTTGGCACATGATACTGAGAAAATTGTGGCAGACTTTTGTGTGACTGCGTAAATTATGGTCTGTCATGTTGCTCCATTTTGTTATAAAGGCACTCAGAAAGAAGATAGAATAGCAAACCAAGATTGACATAACTTTCACCATGGCTAGTACTTACCAACCTCTGCTAGAATCACCCAAGAGTACCATACTTGGCTGCAAGACTCTCTACTTTGTCCTTTCACTATCTGCTATAATCTTCTCCGTGGCTTTTCTTGTTCCAAATCTAATCAAAACCAGCCAATATGATCCATCAGTCCGTCCCCATATATGTCACCGGGCTCATAATCCCGAGGCATGCCTTACCATGGTCTCTGAGGTAGTCTCCGATGGACTGATTCAATCAGATGATTTGACCATTCTGCAGAAATTCTTGATGAGCTATGTGCAACACATGGAGAGTGCAATTGAGGTGGCTAGCCAAGTTAAGAATCGGATCAATGACCATAATGAGCAGGCAGCGTTGGCGGATTGCCTCGAGCTAGTGGACTTGTCCATTGATCGAGTAACTGATTCGATTGTGGCTCTAGCGAATTGGAATACCCTGTCTCATGCTGATGCACAGGCATGGATCAGTAATGTACTTACAAACCATGTTACATGCTTGGATGGGCTTCATGAGTTGGGGAGATCAACAATGGAGTCAATTCTTCAGGACTTGATCTCAAGAGCAAGTGCTTCTTTGGCAATTCTAGCTGCTGTATCTGATTCCCCCGAGGAAATGTTGCAGCACTTGAATGGAATGTTTCCATCATGGGTCAAATTGAGAGATCGGAAACTGCTAGAAAGTTCAGCAAATGACATAAAAGCTGATGTGGTTGTGGCACAGGATGGGACTGGGAATTACAGTACAGTCTCAGAAGCAGTTTCATCGGTGCCTGATAAGAGCAAGACAAGGTACGTGATATATGTCAAGAGAGGAACTTACATAGAGAATGTGGAAGTGGGGAAGAAGAAAAAGAATTTGATGATTGTTGGTGATGGTATGGATCAGACCATCATAACCGGTAGTCTCAACGTGGTTGATGGATCAACAACCTTCAAATCTGCCACTCTTGGTAAAGTATTCGAGTCGATCATGTTTTCTTTTCAGTAATGTCTGCTAATCATAACTTAATCTATGGTTCATGAAATATGACCTGCTTTTGAAATCTCAAATGAGTAACTTCTCACCTCATCTCTCACCGACCTCATGTGTCTATTTTTTTCGATTGCAGCTGCTGTTGGTGATGGATTTATACTGCAGGACATTTGTGTTCAAAACACAGCAGGGCCAGAGAAGCATCAAGCCGTGGCGCTCCGTGTTGGAGCTGATGAATCTGTCATAAACCGTTGCCGGATTGATGCTTACCAGGACACTTGCTATGCACATTCTCTGAGGCAATTCTATAGAGACTCCTATGTCACCGGAACTGTCGACTTCATCTTCGGCAATGCAGCTGTGGTATTCCAAAAATGCAAACTCGTGGCCCGACTACCCATGAAAAACCAGAAGAACATGGTAACAGCACAAGGCCGAACTGACCCGAATCAGAACACTGGAACTTCAATCCAGGATTGTGATATCATAGCAAGCCCTGATCTCACCCCGGTTCAAAGCTCATTCCCAACATACCTTGGTCGTCCTTGGAAGGAGTATTCCAGAACGGTAGTGATGCAATCATACATTGGTGATCATATTGATCCTGCTGGTTGGGCCGAGTGGAATGGGGATTTTGCATTAAATACATTGTATTATGGGGAGTATATGAATAGAGGACCAGGCGCAGGTACTAGCAACAGAGTACAATGGCCAGGTTATCGGGTAATCACTGACCCTGCTGAGGCTATGAAGTTCACGGTGGCAGAACTGATACAAGGCGGGGCATGGTTGAAGTCCACCGGAGTTGCCTACACTGAGGGATTATGAATCAGGAGCATTACTCATCTGCATTCTGCCCATAAACTGTATCACTATGACTAATCTACCGTTAATATTCAGAATGTTATCAATTTCATGATTCTCCGCCTGCTTGATTTGATATAGCTGTAGATTATCTACTGTCTTGGACACTCTGGATGAAGATTTGATATAGCTGTATTGGCCAGTGTAGAACATGAAGGGAATTGAAGTAGAAATATGGAGCTGATAATGACAAAGCTGGTGAACAGTTGATCACCAATTAGCACATTCGTTGCAGCTAGGTTGAATTTGCTATGTGGTCATAGAGCATAGGAACAGAATGACCACTATTGAATAGTGCATACTTCATTGTGTAGCTTGTAGTAACACATATCCATTTCCGACAACAGGTAATGACATAAAATGTATAGTATTACCCATTATCAAATGATAAGTCCAAATCCATCACTCCAGCTTCACCACCATCCTCAGTCCCATCCACCACCACCACCACCACCACCAACACTAGCATCTCCACCACCCTTAGTGCCACCATCATCACTACCTCTGTCAGCCCCCACCACTCTACTACCCTGCCACTCCATTGCCAACTCTACTGCTGCCATACCACCACTTCACCACGATGTATATATATATCAATTATCATACAAAGTCAACTTGATTATGAAACTATAAAGTTGTAACTTTGACATAATGGTAAAAAATCATGAGCTTGAAATTCAGAATTATTTTGGTGTTCTACCAAATAATGATTATGCACGATAGAAGAGAAAGATTAGAAGCATTATGTCAATGTACATCCAAAGAGACACACGACATTAATTCCAATATAATGTGGACAATAACAACAAAAGAACAAACGCGCCATTGATCATCAGACATAATGAAGAAAATGGCCAATATATTCAATAAAGAAAAAAACAAAGAAGTAAAACACCAATTGTACTCATTAGCGCGAGCTAGGGACTGGCTGGACAGACTGTCCAGCAGTAAATCTAAGATTTCAGGGGCCGTTTCAACGAAATCAATTACAGAAACAATTAAATCATTGTGAAATGCATTCACAAGTAGTACTAGGACACAACAATAAAAGTCACTGCTTGGAAATGTTCATCCCCACCCCCTCCTCTTCTGATACTGTTCCTCATCCATATCGTTAGCCTCATTCCCTATTGATTTCGTGTTCTCTGAGATCAAGCTCTTTTTCTTGGTGCTTTTTCGTGGAGATTTTTGAATTTAATAGCAAAACCCCCCTTAAATTCATCATGAAGCGCATCCACTTCCTTGAGTTTCTGATCCAGACGAGACGCTATGATCATCGATGCCATCTCTGGATGTTGTTTCAGCGAGTTCACTGCAACAAAACCATGGTCATGGTATAATCTTTCAATGCACCTCAAATTCTTAACTGTGAAAAAGTTTTCAACGTCGATTTCTCTCTCTGGTTCTTTGTTTATACCCAACATGATGTCGCCCACCAGTTTTTCCATGTCATTCTTAGTTGATTCTAACGAATGTAATACCATGTCTGCTTCAAACAAAGTATCTTCACAATCGCATAATTTCTTTTCATATGGGCATAGCCTTCTGTTCCTAAAACGTGAATCTTTGTTCCTCGGAGTCTCTAACACCCATTTGTTCTCTTCAAGATCGTTCGACTTTTCCTCTAAACAATGCCCATAAAACCCCATGAACTCAATGTACAAATCTCGGTGTTCTTTGAAAATAATTGCAACATCTTGATCGAGCAGACTAATGTCTTTGGCCCCAAATCTCCACCTACTCAAAGCTTCAAGAAACGATTTAAACTTACATTGATCGTCTATGAAACGCTTATAAACCTTGTTTATAAACTCGATCTGTGACACCCACTATGAAGTCGGAGTTTCATCGTCCACCACCACATTGTTGTACACCTCCGGCGAAGTGGCGACATAGTTCACCGGCAAGAAAGAGTTGAACCCAGAAACTAAATCGCCATACCCATCAAACAGTTTCTTCACTTTTGTTAATAGACGGGAAATATCCATTCTTTTAGCCGTGTAATCCTTCAAGAGCTTACAGAATTCGTCGTACTTTCCAGTTTGATCATGATAAGTTTGCTTCACGAGTCTAACATATGCTCCAGTTTCTTTTATGGTTCCTTATAGGACATTTTTCGGACAACCCCTAAATAGCAACACGTGTATTCGGTGTCCAGAAATAATCTCTCTCGGGATTATAACACGTGCTCGTCAGATTATGATCCCTCTTTTCCTGAGATGGTACTATGCATAAGGATCTACGACGCCGGTATGCACAGACGACACGTATTCCTCGGTCGAATGGGTGGGTACATCGGTTCTTAACCGTATTAGGTCCTCGACACCGATGTGTACCCACTACATCGACATTTCTGTTTCTGCAGGGCTATTGATAGACAGGTTATCAGCTTGGGTTAGGCTAGATTAGTCATCATGACCTGATCTTATTTAGATAGTATCAGGACGCACAGGAAAGCAGAAGATTCAACTAAAGGGGAGCTGACACGTGGCGTACTGTGTCAGATCAGAGGCAAAAAGACCAGAATGCCCTTGCTGACACATGACTTGGAAAACTAGTATTTAATGCACTTTTCCCTTGATGAGACAACATTTAATGTGTGAACACCCGGAAATGAAAGGCAATGAATGTTCTTGTGACCGAGTGAAAAGTCATTAAATGCTCAACAGACCGAGGGTGATGCATTGGTTGCTCGGGGTCCCGAGCAGTTAAGGAAGGTGTCATTTCTCCTAAAAATCAGTGCGCACGTTACCCACCTCTAATGATCACCTACTGGTCATACTGACAGCAATCATGAATTTTTAAGGTATAAATACTACTCACAAAACGCATGATGAGGTACGCAATAAACCCTCTCTCAACCTTCATACAATGTTCTTTTTTTTCCCTCTCTCAAAAAACTGACTTGATTGTTGGAGGGGATACGCCGAAAAACACTCTAGCGTCCTTCTAACCTGTTTTTCTTTGTTCCAGGAACCCCCTTCTGTTTTTCAGGATCACTCAGGCGACTTATACCAACGATTGATTATCCACCTTCGACCCCCACAACCTGTTTAACTAGCAAACTCAACCACTCAATTTCGGATACGTGTTCACCACGGGAGAGATTTTTTCTCGTGTTTATATTGTGCAAGATCCTGCACGCACAATCTAGCGCTGTCTGTGAGAAACGACTAGTTNTTTTTTCCTCTCTCAAAAAACTGACTTGATTGTTGGAGGGGATACGCCGAAAAACACTCCGGCGTCCTTCTAACCTGTTTTTCTTTGTTCCAGGAACCCCCTTGTGTTTTTCAGGATCACTCAGGCGACTTATACCAATGATTGATTATCCACCTTCGACCCCCACAACCTGTTTAACTAGCAAACTCAACCACTCAATTTCGGATACGTGTTCACCACGGGAGAGATTTTTTCTCGTGTTTATATTGTGCAAGATCCTGCACGCACAATCTAGCGCTGTCTGTGAGAAACGACTAGTTTTCCTAGTTTCTTCTCTAGAAAGAACAGTGACCATGGTGAACACTCGACAGAAAGGGAAAGGTTCCCAACAAAGAAGTCTCGAGTTGCAAGCTCCACGTCATGATGGAGGGAGGGGTCACGCTGATGATGACAGAAATGTCTCTATTCAGTTAAGGGGGCTTACTCCTCAAACCAGCATGGACATCAGGTCAGGAGGATCCGCCCCCTTGGCTCGTCAACTGGTAGAGGTGATCGAAGAAAAGTTTGGGGATCGACTACGACAATTGGAAAAAGACAATGTGAATGTCCTAAGTCGGCTCAACGAATTCGTCGCCTCCGGCAAAGGATCGAGGGACTCGTTCCTTTCTCGTGGACTTCCCGCCCGGGAAGTGGAAACTGAGGACCTGAGGAATCATTTGAATAACAAGGTTGAAGGCTCCAGGGCCCCGAAGCGTCCAAGAGCCAACGAGCACCCCCTCGACAATCATTCCAAGAAGGCAAGATTTTTAGCCTTGGACGACCTCCGGTGAGGACTGTTAAGGCGGAGGAAGGGAAGACGAGTTTGAGGAGAATTCAACCCTTTTCACGCGACGCCCAAAGAAGGGGAACCCTATCAGTGAACTTGGAGACCTCAGAAGACATCCCTTTGGGGTGGAAACTGATCTCAGAGCTCGGTTGGAATCCACGAGAAAAGGCAGGGCTGTCCGGGATGATGCTAAAGACGAGACCATGCAATCACCTTTTATTAGGGATATCCGAAAGATGGAGGTATCAAAGAAGTTCGTCGTGCCAAGGTTTAAAACTTACGATGGGAGATCAGATCCCGAAGCTCACCCCAGGTAATACAAGCAAATAATGTCCCTGTATCATTCGGACCAAAAGCTCCTCTGCCGAGTGTTTTCCATGAGCTTGAGAGATTCTGCGATGAAGTGGTTCGAGACTTTCCCTTCCAACAACATTGGATCATGGAAGGAGTTGACGAGACAATTTCTAGCCCGATTCATGACGGGGAGTAAGCGGCCTAAAGACGTTGGATCATTACTGATGCTCAGGCAGAGGGAATCTGAAACCCTTCGCCAGTACGCCATCCGGTACTGAGAAGAGGTTAATGAGGTAGAGGAATGTTCGGAAGTCATAGCAGCGACATCCTTCAGGCTTGGCTTGACAAGGGACACAGACCTGTACCGATCCCTAACTAAGAAGACTCCCTCAGATATGGGCGAGTTGATGGCCCGAATAAACAAGTACTCTAGGATCGAGGACGAAATGGGGAGCAGCAAAGGCAGAAACCCCCTACCTAAGAGAAAAAAAGGGAGCGGGAAGACACTTCTCGAAAGGGGCTGGTACTCCCTCTGGGAGGGTCATTCAAAGGTGTTCACACTATGTTCAAGAAACCCATCTACAGGTTGCTTCATAAGATCAAGCATGAGCCGTTCTTCAAGTGGCCGCCTAGGATGCAGAGCGATCCCTCCACCCTTGATCAAAAGGTTAAGTGTTCCTATCACCGGGATTTCGGCTATGGTACCAAAAATTGCAGAGTATAAAAATCTTTCTTGGACCCAAGTCAGAAGAGGGACGCGATCCTGCCCCGGCCGTGGAGCAAGACAATGTCATAGACGTGATCCATGTATGTCCACTGGATCGCCCGACGTCCAAGGAGTTTGAGTCCGACCTTAAAAGAGTAGCCTTTACGAGAAAGACTGCAAAGAGTGATGGGGGACCACCCAACAAGAGGACCAGGATTGACGAGCCAGGTATCACGTTCTCCGACGCGGACTTGGCCCTGATCATAACCCTGAAGATAGGCAGGTTCGACGTCAAGAGGCTGTTGGTCGACTTTGGGAGTTCCTCGGAAGTGATGTACTCAGAGACCTTAAAACGGATGGGCTTTGGCCTCAAGGACCTTACCAAGGTCAGGACGCCCCTCGTCGGATTTAACAGCTCGTTCGCTTTGTCCATAGGCAAAATCACATTACCAGTTGTCACGGGTCCTTTCACCATCAATACGGAGTTTGTCGTGATCGATACGGACTCTCCCTACAAATGTGATCATGGGACGATCATGGTTGCATGCGCTGGGAGCGGTGCACTCCACTTATCACCAAAAATCAAAATTTGTTACGCTAGAAGGGATCATGGAGATCTAAGGGGACCAAGCGTCTGGAAAAAACTGTTTTTTCTTGGCTGTGAGAGCAGGGGTTTTCACCCAAGAGAAGGGGCGCGCCCCAAAAAAAGATCCTAAAAAAATAGCAATCACAGTTTAGGTGTCCAGGAATGGATGACCCCCGGACTGACCCGACAGAACGATCGGTGGAGGACCTCCGAAAGGTGCCCTTAGTGGATGGTGAAGAGGAAAGGTACTTCTTGATTGAAACTGCGATGTCCATAGTCGAACATGAGGAGATGATTGACTTCTTGAGGGAAAATACAGATGTGTTCGCTTGGAGCGCAATTGAGATGAAGGGAGTGGATCTCGAAATAATCACGTACAAGCTGCATATCGACCCGGCGCACAAGCCAGTAAAGCAGAAGTCACGACACATGGCACCGCACCACGCCCGAACGGTTAACGAGGAAATCGATAAACTCCTGCAGGCCAATACCATCCGAGAAGTATAGTTCTCAAAGTGGCTGTCTAACACGGTCTGTGCGAAGAAAAAAGGGGAGAAATGACATGTTTGCGTAGACTTCACTGATCTAAACAAGGCGTGTCCCAAGGACGACTACCCCCTGCCAAAGATGGACCAGTTAGTGGATGCCACTACAGAATATCAACGTATGGACTTCTTGGATGCCCGAGCAGGATATCATCAGATCCCTCTCTATCCTCCGGATCAGGAAAAGACGACGTTTATCACTCCAAGGGGGGTTTACTGCTACAAAGTAATGTCATTTGGGCTGAAGAACGTCGGGACAACATACCAGAGGCTGATGAATCGGATGTTTAAAAGACAAATCGGCAATACCATGGAGGTCTACATTGATGATATGTTGGTAAAGAGCAAACGAAGTTGTGACCACCTGGTGAATTTGGCGGATACCTTCTCCACTCTCAGGGAGTATGGGCTGAAGCTGAACGCCGTGAAGTGTGTTTTCGGAGTGGAGTCAGGTAAATTTCTCAGATATCTGGTAAGTCAACGATGAGTCGAAACTAACCCGGATCAGATTCAAGCGATCCTAGATGTTCGGAGCCCTCGAACAGTCCGAGAAGTCCAAAAGCTCACAGGGATGCTAGCAACACTTAACCGTTTCATCTCGCGCTCCTCGGACAAATGCAAACCCTTTTTTGGGGCCATCAAAGGGGCCGGGAAGGATACGTGGACCCAAGAGTGTGAAGACGCCCTGGTAGGAATCAAGGAATACCTCAGGGCTCTCCCGACCCTATCTGTCCCTGTCTAGGGGAAAACGCTATTCTTGTACTTTTTCGTATCAGAATTTGCCGTCAGCAGGATGCTCATTCGTGAATATGAGCACCACCAGAAGTCGATTTATTACATAAGCAAGGCGCTGCTAGACGCGGAGACAAGATACCTGCCCCTAGAGAAACTCGTTCTATCCCTGATCATAACTGTGAGAAAACTAAGACATTATTTTCAAGCGTACCCAATTACTGTCCT